AAATCCTTTCTCATTTCTTTGCAAGGTTTCATAGAAAATACAGTGGATGCTGCTGTCGAGTGCCGTCCAGCAGAAAAGTGGGCACGTAAAAACACGATGCTGGTCCTCAGGCACCCTCTTCACGGCATCTGGCACCGGGTGACTGCCGGCTCTTCCCTGAAGTCAAAATGACCATGGAAGGGAGATGTCTGAATCAAGTCAGGACACTGACACAGCCACGGCTAAGGACACTCGTGCAAGAGCACTTCTGGAGCTGTTTCAGAAAGTGGCCAGGATGGTGGGGTGAACGTCTTGCAGGCAAGGAGCAATATATATATATATATATATATAGATATATATATATATATATTTTTTTTTTTTTTAATTTAATTTAATTTTTTTTAATTTTTTTTTATTTTTCCCGGAACCGGGTTTGAACTCAGAACCGAGTTTGAACTCAGGCCCTTGTGCTTGCTAGGCAAGCACTTATTCAATTGAACTATCTCCCTGGCCCCAAGGAGGAATATTTTGAGGGAGATTCATGGTAATGTCTTTTACTGTAATAGTTTTTAAAAAAACATATACTGTGTTTTTCAATCATACCTTTTAGGTTCTGCTTTGGATTAGCAAGAGGCAGCATACACAAAAATATAAGATTTGCACAAAACGTAACAGGATATTTTAAATTAATAAAAATGTAACTTTCATCTGATATAACATGCTTTTATTCCAGTTCACCAGTTTTCTAATTTTTTTTTTTTGCTGGAACCAGGGATTGAACTCAGGCCCTTGCGTTTGCCAGGGAAGCACTTATTCCACTGGGCCATCTCCCTGGCCCCCAGTTTTCTAATTTTTTGATGTCACAATTTTCATCTTTATATTGTGTATCCCTTAACAGATGATTGTAGGAAAAATTTTAAAATATTTTGTCTTTTAACACTACTAAAGATGTGCTTTACACCCCATCAATATAGTATTATTCTGAGTTTGACCATGTATTAATTTTACCAGTGAGTTTCACATACACTTGTGTTACCAACTAGAATCCTCGTTAGGCTGAACTAATTCCATGTAACTTTTTTTGTACAGCAGTAATGAGATAACTACCACCCTTATCTTTTAATTTTCCTGGGAATCCTGCATTTATGAAAGCCAGCTCATAGGATCATTTTTTTTCCATTGTATGTATTTGGTACACAGTCTCACTAGGCAGCTCAGACTCCTAGTGATCTTCCTGTTTTCAGCCTCCCCAGTGCTGGGATTTCAGTGTGTGCCATCCCACTGGACTTGGTTGCTGGCTCAGCGCACCCTGGGGGCGGAGCCAGCACACCATGAGCAACTGGGGCTCAAACCCTGGTCCCTGTGCTTGCCAAAGCTGGCGCTTAGTCCACTGAGCTATCTTGCAGGTCCTAAGATCATGTGGTTTTGGTTGGCCGTGTTTTCATCATTTGTGTCATCCCATTGTGTCCTGGCTTGTTCTCTTTCTGCTGGAAAATCTGCTATTATTTTTGCTCAAACTACCTTTTATATGATTTGCTTCCTTTTACGGGGCTTCCGCTCCTGTCTTTGCCTTTTTTTAACTTTCAAATTTAATTTAATTTTGAAAAGTAAAATCAAAAGCAAGAAAATCAGAAACAAAGACAGAAACAGGGTAACATATATGTTACAGAGTTTCAAACCACAAATAGCTGATTAACAATGGTTGATATATTATCTATTTTTATTGTCAAATCTGTTTATTTTTTTCTTTTTGTGGTGCTAGGGATCGAACTCAGGACCCTGTGCTTGCTGGCCAAGTACTTATTTCCATTGAGCTATCTCCTGGGCCCCCCTCTTTTTTTTTTTTTTTTTTTTTTTTTTTTTTTTGTATTTTAGGGAAGGATCTACAGGGTGTTCAGGGTCTCACTACTAGGTTGGACTCATAGTGATCTGCTTGTTTACAGCCTCCCAAGAACTGGGATTACAGGAGCTCACTGGCACAGCAGACCTGGGGATCGAACCCTCAGCCCCTACACTTGCTTGCAAGCGCTTTAATCCACTATTTGGCTGGCCCTGCTGCTTAGATTAATAGATATGGTTATGTAAGACTGGATATATGGTTGCATATTACTGCTTACTTTCAAGAAACAAAATTTTTGCTGTCACTTTTATCTTTTGAAAAAAATTGTTTTAAAGAGAGTATTGTAATAATTGATGACATTAGAAATGGTTTACATGTCTTTACCTTTTATTTTTCACATCTTAATTACTTAGGTGTGGTCTCACTTAGGTTGAATCTGAGCATTACAGAACTTCTTATACCTGGATATTTAGATATTTTTCTCTGTATTTAAATATTTTGGCTATTAATTTTTATTTAAAAAATACAAAATGATAAAAAAGCATTAGAAATGATACAAAATTTCATTAAACAAAGTAATAAGAATTCAACAATGGTTGCCAATTGCATGATGTTACCTTCAAATTAGCTGTTTAGGTTACCAGATACAAACCTGCAAAGTCTGTTAAAAACAACACCAGCAAACAAATTACAAATCAAAAAAGCAAAAAGAATCCCCCCCCCCAAACCCCAACAACTAAAACCTTTGAAGCACTCACTGCTGCTTGCGAAAGACAAGGAGCAGTGGGCAGCACAACATCCCACCACCCTGCATGCACACCTCAACGCATCTCCCCTCCCCTGTCCGTTTCCAAGCTCAGTCTTGGTCTGGTCTCCTCTCAGAACGTGCGCATGTGCTCTCCTGCTGCTGTCTCAGAAGCCCTGCATGCTTCAGTGGTTTTTCTCTTCTGACTATATTTTCAAATAACTCAGTATCAACTTCCCAGACATTTTTTTTCTGGTTGATCAATTCTGTGCATGCATTTTTTAGCTCTAAAATAAAAAAAATTGAATTGTTAAATTTCCCATTTTAGTTATTTATTGCTTTCCTGCCCTCACTGAATTGCTTCTGTGTACTTTCCCGGAGTACTCTGGGCTTCTCTAGAACAATTCTTCTGAATTCTCAGGCAGGTTGTCCATCTCCTCTTCTTTGGGTCAGCCACTGGACAGTGCTGGCTTCCTCTGGGGGTGGACCCGCGGCACGTGGCTTGAATCTGTGTCAGTGCAGCCGTCGGCCCAGCGCTCTGGGCTCATGCTGGTGCTTCTTTATCAGCTCTCAGAGTATGTCATCCTGCTCTCACCTGGCCCACACAGTTTCTATGGAAAAGTCTGTGGTGACGGCAGTGGGGGTTCTCCTCTCTTCTTCCTGCTTTCAGGGCTCTCCGCTTCATTTGCCCTCTGATTTCTTGTGTCATAGGTCGGCTTTATTTGCCCTGAATCTGACTTTCCCTAGTTTAAAAGCTTGTTGTTACCTTAAATAAGCATCTATCCTGTTTTGTCCTTCCTGACATGAACCCCAGTGTTGGAAGTGTTTGTTTCTGATGTTGCAACACAAATCTCATAATCTTTGTTCCTTTTCATTTTCTTCCTCTATAACAACCTGCCTTCAATTTCACAGGTCCTATTTTCAACTTGACCGATGCTCTATATTTCAACCTGATAAAAGCTATCTATGAGAAACCAACAGCCAACATCATACTAAATAGGCAAAATCTGAAAGCCGTCTCTTTAAAATCAGGAACAAGACAAAGATGTCCACTATCTCCACTCCTATTCAATATGGAAACATTAGCCAGACCAATTAGATGAGAGAGAAAAGGACTGGAAAAGTGAAATCACCATTACTTGCAGATGACACAATGTGCTACACAGAGGACCTCAACGGTCAAGTCCTGCTGACAATGCCACTTTCTATAGAGTTGTATTTCACTAAATTAATTATCTACAAGATTTCAATTCCATTACGTCAGTGTTTTAAGTTTTCTGATCTACTTGACTGCTGCTCTCTATCTTTTTGAAGTCTGCAGAGGTGGCTGAGAACAGTTACGTGGAACTTTCTCATGCTGTGCACACATCCGCATTTGTTTGGTGAGCTGCTCGTCCCCTGCTTACAGGTTCTATACAGCAGCATCACTTTTATTCACAAGCAGAGCATTAACACTCTGCCCCACTTCTACTCTTTCATAATCCTGCTAAGTAATGCATCACAGAAGCTTGATTTGTTACTTGTTTCCTCTCCAAAACAAAGCGCGCTCTAAGGTGCCCGTCAGGTGCCTGATTAGTCTTCGACACTCCAGAACTGGTTATATTCACTGGCAGACAGCAGACACTAAAATAAAATTAGCTAAAGACTGCCATTTGTGGAACCAAAAAAATCTTAACAGTAGTCGGTAAAACACTTGAGATAGTAGAATCAAAAACAAACCCACCACCACCAGTCCCCCAAAGTAAAACCGAAGCAAAGCCCAGTAGCACGAAGAAAAGGAAGCCGTGTGCGTTCAGTGGCGTGATGGTACCACTGAGCAAAGCTTTCTGAAGCAACGCTCCACCTTAGAAGAGAGGCTGCACGCACTTCCGAACAGGTACCCGGGAGCTTCTTGTGCAAAGGTTCACTGCGAAAAGTAACTGGGCAGATGATCCAAACCATAAGGAGGCAGCTGAGGAGTGAAAGGGGAAGAAAGCCAGCAGACACTTCTGGGGCAGAAAGGAGGTTTAATGAGGAGATGAAAGTCAAGGGACAATGAGGGACTCTGATTTGTGGTCTTTGTCACACTTTGTTAACGGAGAAGCTAGTTCAGTTGACAATCTAGAGTGTGAAATGAAATTTTTACTCATAGGGGCATAATATTTGCTTGTGATTTATCCAACCTCACACTCGAAGTCTCTACAGCCTGCACTCCAGAGAAAAATGTTTCTCGGAATGCTGAGAGCTATTCATACTGTCAGATAACATGCGCTCCACTGTGATGCTCCCATCCTTAGGATAAAGCTTTATCCTTGGAGTCTATGTGTAAAGAAATCCCTTGAATATCAGTAAGAAAAATTCAACCTGTTTTGTATTTTCTTTTGCACAAAATCTGCAGATTTGCAGATTTTTTTAATATTGAGATATCATAGCACTGACATCAGGTATTGGCATCAGCAAAAATCCCACATTTCTAAGGTTTTCAGAAAGTAGTTTCAGCCTCCTCTGTAACTGGTGTGGAAACAGTGCCATGTCTTCGACTCTGGAAAACAAAATTAACTTTTACAAATCATCTTTTAAAAATGTACAGTGTACCAACGTTTTACAGTAAGACCTTAAAGTTCCTTACATCTATTTCCATTCCATTCCCACCTTAACCTTCTTCCTTAATTACTACTGGATCACTTGTAGCTTTTGATATGCACACTGATTCCCACATTAAAAATACTGTTCTTGAACGCAATAGACACCAGAACCCTAAAATTCACTCCAGCACCTCATGACTCGATCAGTGTCCATTCTTCAACCCTCAACTGTCACTCTGATGTTTAGGCTACTGCTCCTTCCCAGACCCACCCACTGAGCTTGTATCCCTTATCACTATGTTGCAGCTTTTGCTTTGCCTGTTTTTAACTTTATGGATGGAATATAAAATATAGTGTTCGAGTCTGCCTTTTTATACTAAATATGCCAAAAATTCCCTCATGTTTTTTTACTTGTTGTACAGAATTTGATTAATCTACCCTGATGTGTTCCCACGCAGTCACATCTGTGTGCTGGCGCTTTGGAGTCGGTATAAAGACGCCCTATGTTATTAATGGAAATGTATCCTGGTATATCTGACAAACATCGGCTATCTACTAAAGAACAATGGGATGATGCACATCTGATTTGTAGAAGGCAATGCCCAAATGGTTTTCAAAGCTGTGGTGATAACTTAAACTCTAACCAGGATGTCAAATTTCTTTTATCTGTAGTCTTTATTATAATCACTTGAAATTCATCAGGATTTGGAAACTCAGTCATTGTGGTGGACGCTTAATAGAATCTTTTTTTTTTAAAATTATTTATTTATTTATGTGTGTGTGTGTGTGTGTGTGTGTGGCCAGCTCAGCTCACCAGGGGGTGGGGCTAGCTGGCATGTGGTGCTGGGGGATTGAACCACGGTCCCTGTGTTTTGCTAAGCTTGTTCTAAGTAGGTGCTTTAGACCACTGAGCCATCTCACCAGCCCCAATAGAATCTTATTTAGTGTTAACTTATTTAATGTGGTTATTTAAGTGGACTTGTGTCAGATATTTTACCATTTCTTGCCATTGTATCTCATGTATTGTGTCCTTTACCTGTCATAAAATTACTATTGGTGTATCAATTCCTTTGGTTTTTAAAGTGTAATTTTAAGTTTTCTTAGTCATAAATATACTTGTCATAATTTGTCTTAGGTAAATGCTGACCCTGGTAGCATAGAGCAAGTGAGCTCCTGTGTGCTCTTGTCCCTCCCTTCTCTGTGCTACTGATAGCCATCCCCACAGCACCGGGCTTTCCACTGTGTGTGCTTACAGCTTGCACAGTGTGCACGTATTGGGCACGAGGTGGCAGCGCGTGACGCATGAAGGAATCTGGCCTGCAGCCTGCTTTTGCTAACGAGGTTTTATGGAGAAAAGCCAATAACCCTTCACTTATGTGTCATGTGTGGATCCTTTCATGCTAAATGGCAGCTCCAAGTGTTTATTATGATATTCAGATTAGCATTGCTTACTAGCAACCTTCAGTAAGGAGATGATCCCAAATTACCTGGGGGAGCCCAGTGTAGTTTATGCAGTTGTTTGCTAAATAAAAGAGCATATAAAAATATATAATGTATTTATTCATGTTTGTAATCCCTTATGGCTCTTCTTAATGGTGCTCTTTATTCATGTGTGTTGGAGCTTCACTAGACATCAGCTCTTTTCTGTTTCTTTACCCAGCATTTCTGCTAGCAGTGCATTCTCTGTCCAGCTGTGTATGTCTTCATCCTTATTGTTTGAAAGATAATTTTAAAGGATATAGAATTCTTGAAGTCTTTCTGTAGCATTTTAATATGCCATCTTGCTAGCTCCTGCACTCACTCACTCTTCTGTGCAGCCAGCCGCCACCCTTACTGTTGCTCCACTGTTTATTGAGCTCTTTTTTTTTTTGCTACTTTCAATACTTTCTCTCTTTTTAAAATTCAGATTGACAGAGGTGTCTAGGAAGGAGTCACTCTGTGTTTATCCTAGGTTGGGGATCACTGGGTTTGCTTTTGTTTACAATGAGCTTTTCCATCCAATTAGCTGAGTATTTGGCCGTTATTTCCTCTGTTCTCTCTGTCCACGCAATTTCTATCGGATTCTCATTAAGCATTTCCAGTGGTGCCCGAGTGCTTTCTGAGGCTCTGTTCACCTTTTCCCCCCACTGTTTTCGGACTGGTCTTTTTGTGTTATCTTTTTTTTCATTGATCTTTGTCTTCTATTTGTTCAAATCTGCTTTTCAGGCTTTCTAACAAGTTTTCATTTCAGTTATTATATTCTTAAAAGTGCAACTTCATCTTTTTGATTGGAAAATTTTTATTGTTCTAAGTAGGTGCTTTAGACCACTGAGCCATCTCACCAGCCCCTATTGTACTCTTATTGTACTTAACTTCTTAGAGAAAAACTTTCAACTGTTTTTAAAAATAACTGCTGGGATCAGCGAGGTATCTCAGCAGACTACAGCACCTACTTAGGCAAATTTAGGCAAGTACAGGGACTGTGGTTCAATCACGGCACCACATTGCACGCCAGCCCTGCCTCTGGGGCATGCTGAGCCAGCCAGAGTCCAGGCACAGTAGTGCCTGACTGTAATCCTAGTGCTGTGGAGGCTGATAGCAGGAGGATCGTCGCAAGTCTGAGCTGTGTAGTGAGATTGTGCAACAACCAAATACAAAAAAAAAAAAAAAAAAAAAAAAAACTGCTGATAGTATCATTTGATCAGCCGTCACTGCCATCCTGTTTTTCAAACATATTTAGATTTTTGATAGTTTTGTTAAATATAATATTTGTCTTCTCCCTTTTCTCAAGAGACTATATCTGGTATTGGGTGCTTTCTTTATATATTGGTACTATTTTAGTGTTTTTGAAAACTGGCCATTTTACATAGTAAGTTGTAGCCACCATGAATTCTGATTGCTTCATCTACTCCAGAGCTGGTGGTTAATACTATCATATTAGGGATTTGCCTCTACTACTTGTGGGGTATCTGTTTCTCTTAAATCATGTGGGTTCTATCTGCTTTTTATGTAAATTTTTCTTGGTTTCTTTTTATTTTAGTTTATTTATTTTTTAGTACTGAGAATTGAACTCAGTACACAGCACTTGCCAGGCAGGGGCTTGTGCTGCTAAGCTACCTCCCTCGCCTCTGCTTTCGGGACCCGCTATCGCCCTAATCTTGCCATCCTTATGGCCTATTGCATAGTAGGCCTATCAAACAGTACACCCTTCATTAGTATCTGAGGAAAAAAATAAATGAATGTTAGATATCTAGTTATTTTAAGCCTGTGAGGGAGTAATCTTTCTCATAATCCTTTGTGGCTTGGGAATTGTTAGGCATTTTATGTGCCCCAGGGACAGGGCTGGCATGGCATGTGGTGCCAAGGATTGAACCACGGTCCCTGCACACTTGCCTAAGCTTGCCTAAACAGGTGCTTTAGACTGCTGAGCTATCTTGCTGGCCCTATTAGGCATTTTTGAAATTTGACACTGCAATTACACTTTCAGGAATTATATAGATTCACTTACAGGAATAGGAGTCTCTTAAATGAATACATCTTTGTATTGAAATGTTCACTGAGTCATTGTTAATAATTTGAAAAAAACCTGGAAAAAAGCTAAATATGCAATAAGAAGGGACTATTAAATACTAAGAAATACAATGCAGTTATTAAAAGGCATTGTTTAGATATGCTTTGCAATGGAAAGATGCTTAAGATAGCTGCAAAAAATGCACATGACAAAATACTGTGACTACGGTCAGACAGGTAAAAAGTGGAAAAGAAGGATGGGGAGATAGCTCAGTGGCATAAGTGCCTGCCTGGCAAGTGCAAGGTCCTGAGTTTGATCTCAGGTACAAAAAAAAAAAAAAAAAAAAAAAAAAAAGTGATCAAAAATAAAAAAAAAAAAAAAAAAAAGCAAAAGAAAATTGTGTCATATGTCTTGTGTAGCTTTGGCTGTACGGGAACATTAATTTAATCTGTAATTTAAAAATTATTTATAGTTTCATGTATTAGTCTTGTAATTTTATGTTTTCTATTTATAAACTACAGGAAGAAGTGCAGATCACTGCGCACTGCATGTTTCTCACTTCCACACAACGCCCAGCGCACCCCGTCTCCTCGGGATGAGCTTGCTGGACACCAACAATGCTTCATTTTCCGGAGAAGGCACTTACCATACTGCCACACATGTAGATGGAGTGCGTGAGGGCAATGGCCATTTCCAGGAGGTAGACAATCACAAGCAAACGTGACACTTCCCTCCCCAGCTTCTGGAATCAGAAAATAGGAGGGATTTTGCATTTTTAGTAAGTACATATAGTCTTGGAGGGAGCTTGCAGTGTGAATCAAGGAAAAGAAGAATGAAGCTCTTCCACCATTTGGTTTCTCTAGCACCGATAGTCCGCTGCTTCTCGCTTCTGTTTCCATGTGTGTCTTCCCACTTCACTGTCTGTGGCTCTCACCCTTGACCTTCACTCTGCCCTCATTGGAGCACTCCCGGCACAACCAGCCTCGCTGTCTAAACCCTCCCATTCAGAAGATTTGACTTTCCTATCTAGTAAGGTGGGCACCAAGAGATTTTTAACAAACAATCCCCTTGTCTATTAAGAAAGTTATATTGATTACAAACTTACCTAAATTTGTATTTGTAGTAATAAAAATCTCACATAAGTAGTGCTATGATATTTTATGAAATTACTTACAAATTTAACAAGTTTTCCATATTTCACATGGAAGTACAAAGTGATGATAATTTTTGGGATAAGTCATCTAAAGCCAAGAATGACACTCAGATCCAGAGTCTTTTCTGCTTCCATACTTCTTTTCCTTCTAATTTTTCTTTTCTTTGTTGGCTTTATTTAATGTCATTTATGTGCAAGAAACTTATTGGGTAGAAGAATTAGATGCTAGAAACAGTGGCATAAAAATTTTGTTTCCTTAGAGTTTATGATCAAATAGAAAAGATGGAAAGGTAATATAAAGTCACATATGGTGGGATTAGTATGTCAGTAGTTGTAGGGAGCAGGAGGGTCACCAAAATCGATTAATATCCAGAAAGTCATCATAAAGGGGTATGACCTTTGAGGAATGATAGAACTGATTAAAAAATGAAAGAAGCAGAATTTTAGGAAGTTCTCATATTTTTTTTAAAACCTGTTTAACTGTAACCCTTTTTGTCTGGGAAAGTATAATAATACAATAATGGAGCACTGGAGACATAAACTCGAAGCTGTACCGCAATGGCCATTTGTTAACGTGAGTAAACAACTGGATCCAGGAAACAGTGAGAAAATGATAAAAGTTTTAAATGAAGTACAGTGTTCATTCCTGTATGACATAAATGGAAAGGAAAGAGTCGAGGGAGCTTCTGAACATCCAGATATTGAGTTCTAATTTCAGCTCACTGGCAGCATTACAGAATCAGAACGCTTCAGCTGGAAACCACACATGCCTTCCTGATGGGCAAATCTGCGAAACCTCCTTTCATCTACGTCCTTACTTCACGCAGGTTTTCACCCTCACATCTCGTCCACTGAGGTTTCAAGATGTCTGCGAGAGAAGCAGAAATAGGATGTACCATGCAGCATGTGGGGCTGGGATTGAAAGGATCTTCATTTTCATCGGTACGTGTTTCTGCACCTGATTCCGCACCTCATGAGGCATCAGCGCTTGCACACAGCACCTCCCTCGCTCTCCTCACCTTTCCCATCTCTTGATGCCTTCTTGAGAAGGATCTATTTCTCTGCTCCTATGAGCTCCCATTTTGATCTTTATTTATACTTGGGGTTTCTTCTACAAAAGAAATGGTGATATTTAAGGTTGTGTGTCTGATTTCACTTCACACGATGGTCTCAAGTACATCTGTTTTCCTATAAATGACTTGTGTGTCCTTCTTTATGGCAGAATACTACTCTATTTTGTACAAATTCCATAGTTTCTTAATCCATTCATATACAGATGGGCAAGTAGCTGCTTTGAAGAATTAGGTGGTATGAGTTGTGGTGCTATAATGAGAATTTTTCTTGCCAACTATTCTTCCAACAGAAGACTGACATTTAGATTATATGAAGAATTGAAGATGAGTCCTCCACCAATAAAACACAATAAAAATGATCAACTTAAACAGGAATTTCTCAGAAGCACAAATGGTCAATAATTACTTGAAAAAATGTTCAACATCACACTAAAGCTAGATTGAGATTCTTCCTTACTCCAGAAAGAAAGGTCACCATCAAGAAATCAAATGCTGCGGAGGCTTCAGGAGGAGGAAACCCTTCCGCACTGCTGGTGGGAGTGTAACCTTGCTCGAACAGCACAGAAATCAGTGTGAGGTTCCTTGAGTGACTGAATCCCATCTGACTAGGGCCTTGACATACAAACTAAGCCTCTGGTCAAACATTAACTCACCAAGTGTGGTCTTTTGTGCTAACATCAATTTGGGGTTGTTCAGAATTTCACTTAAAAATTAATAATGAGAATCCTAATTTTAAAAATTCAAATTAAAAATCAATGATATTTGGTAATTAGAATAAAACATTGGAAAAAGAGGAGTCAAGGTCAAGATTTTGGGCTCAGGCAATTGAAACAGGGAAGTTTCACAGTGTGGTACTTTTGAACAGATACGCAATTTTAATTATATATCTTTTCACTTTGAAATGGTAAGATTAGAAATATATCCAAGCAGAAAAGTGAAACAATCATGAGGACAGACAGGCCAAGAATACGGGGATGACAGCAGAGCAAGGCAAGAATACAGCTAGGTCAACTTTCCCCTCTTGGCACAAGGACACCGCCAGCAGGAAGTTAAGCCTCCTCAAGGGCCCACACAGGTAATACTGAGGAGGCCAGGGAGGGCCAGGCCCTGAGGCAAGGTACACTGTTTTCATAAGAACCTGGCTTGTGCCCAGGCCAGGGCTGATCTGAAGGACAGATAGCTCACTTCCTTTCTCGCTGAGCGTCCCCTCTCACTCTGCTCCCTCCCTGCCATGAAGTCATCTGCCACCAGGCCCTCACTCGCAGCTCAATACACTTAAGTTCCATCTCCAAATCTGTGAGCCAACTGAACCTCTCTTTCTTTGTCAGCCCTTAGCTGGAGTTGTTTTCCTACAAACAGAAAGTGGACCGGCAGGGCAGGTTTTGACAGTTGTGTTATTTGAGATGGTGACTTCTATATTTTAAAACAATTAGATACAGAAGAACTTACATCTTCCTCTTTATCATCTGCCCCTGAAATTAGAACTAAGGAGTTGTATACTCCATTCCTCTTTCTTTCTTTTTTTTTCTTTCTTTTTTTTTTTTTTTTGTGGTACTGGCAAGTGCTTAATTTACTGAGCTACCTCCCCAGCCCTGGGAATTTTCTTACAGTTTAGAGGGAAAGTCTGGTCATGTTTATTTCAATCATCATCCATCACACATAATCTATTCTGGGCACTACATTTTCTATCATTTCCATCCCTCCAGGTTTTGTTCTCGGTGTTTAGATTCTTCCTAACGTTCATCTATATGATACACTGCCCAATGGAGAAGAAAACTTACATGGAAGGACAGCATGAAGATTGCCTTCCACCTATAACAACTCTTCTATTCACTATTGTTGCTGCCCTGTATTGTAACAGGCTGCCCTGGATTGTCTATTGTTGGCCAAACAAGGATGAGCTGCTGTCTAATCTGGGAGACTTTTATAGCCTTTGCCAAAACACTAATTATCTGTGATTTTGAATTTGAGGTCAACACAACTGAAATAAATCTACTGTGTTATCAGTAAACACCATTTATTTTTGTTTTTGTTTTGGCTGTACTGGGGATTGAACTGAGGACCCTGCGCTTACCAGGCAAGCGCTTATTCTACTGAGCTATCTCCCCAGGCCCATCAATAAACAACACTAACATTTGCTGGAGAATATTGCTGTCTCAGAAAGCAACATAGTTATTTCTGTAGTACTGAATACTTAATCAGAAATGACATGCTTATATATGTTTAGCATTTGCGGATTTCAAGCAGAATTCAACTAAGCCAGAAAGACAGGTGGTTATGAAAAGTCCCATGCTAACTCAGAAATCATTAGGTGTTGACAGTTTGAATAGCATGTAGCACAGCAGAATTTTTCTTGACTTTGGGAAGAACTTTATGCTCAAGGATTATTCTTTTGTTGTATTAAAAGTCAGAAATGACCATGAGCCTAATGCATAACTCCTTGGCACTGAAGTCCTGCTATATCCTAACTGGGCAAGTCCAAAGTTCAAATAGCTATTAGTATTTCCTAAAATTGTATATCATAGATTTTTGAATAAAAAATTTCAATCAAGAGTTCATTACTAAATCAAAGCATCATATGAAAAACAATAAATACCCAATTTTGCCTCCTAAGTCTTCAAAATAACTGAAAAAATGATTTTGAAATTAAGATGTTGTTACAGACTTGGTCACTTACCGCTTGACCATAATTCTTGTACGACACAGACCTAAAGGAAGACAACTCCACTATTGTCAGTATTAATGCTGCCAATGAAACAATTATGCACAAGAGATCCAGGCCTAAAGAAGACATGATCTGAAAGGAAGATGGAGAAAGTTGTTATAGTCACAATAAATCTTTTTTTTTTTTTTTTTGAGACAGGGTCTGGCTTTTTACCACAGGCTGGTCTTAAACTCACTGTGTAATCCAGGTCACCCTCAAGCTCATGGAACTCTTCCTGTCTCCGCCTCCTGAGTGCTAGGACTGCAGGCATGTGCCACCACACCCAGAACACAAATCTTGGTTAAACCACTTGTTTTGCTAGTAAGTAATCCTGCTGTGAGGATTTGAAAGTATTTGTATCTTACGATTAATGTAGAATATTTTTGTGGTTTAGAGGAAAGACAAATCTAGAGGAAGCATTAAAATATCATCAAGCTTTTAAGTACAAACACTGTGTTTTACAACCTGGGCTTATAATGCAGTTTAATCACGTGTCAAGGTTTTTAGTTTTGGTACATGTTTATAATACATGGTTAATGGTGACACATGCCTGTAATCCCAGCTCTTGGGAGGCTGTAAAGAGGCAGATCACTCTGAGTC